AATCCAACGCCCTTCGTGGTATTAGCCAGGGGAGTAGTTGTTTTCTGATAGGCGTCAGTCCATTAAACCTACTGTGTAGGTATATAGAGACTGGCTTGAACGTTTGAAGTTCCATTTGCTTTAGATCTAATCATCTAAAGGAACAATTCGTTCAGGCCAGTCTCAACACCCTACACAGTAGGTTAATGGACTGACACTTATCAGAAAACAACTACTCCCCTGGCTAATACCACGAAGGGCGTTGGATTATATCCGACAGGTGCTTTAGATCTATTCTCGTAGGTTTGGACGGAGGTCAGGGTGCAAATCAAGTAGAAACTGATGGTATAGGTCAAGGTGGAAGTCAAGCTGGAGCTCATACAGGAGGTCAAGGTGGAGATAATGGTGGAGGTAAAAGTGGAGTTCACGGTGGTACCCATTTAATCGGTTCTATTGAGTTTGGAAGTCCTGATAACGATGCGGACACAGGTAATGAATCAATTCAAACCGACATTGTGATGGTAATAAACTTTTGCCCGAAATTATGTGAATGTTGGATCAAACAATCACATCGTCGATTACGTTATCTTGATTGGAACAGAAACGATCTGTAGGAGTCATATTCCAGGGTTTTCCAATGAGGAAATTTGGTGTTTAGACTGAGAAACGAATGAAATCCGGAAATTTAAAAGTACCAGACAATCATAACAATCTATGAATATGACTGGGGTTTATTCCAAACACCAAACCGTTATTTTTGACACCTCGACACGTGCTTCGATCACCAAGTGATTGCCTTCATTTACACAATAGATACCTCTGCTAGGTACCTTCGTCGTAATTGTCTTAGATTAATTTTATTGAAACGGAAATAAATTTGCCTGTTTTCTATCTGAGGGCAAGTTATCAAACATCTTGACCCCATTGTAATAAATAGAATTCCTGACCAAATGTGTTAAAGGAATTGGCAATTTCAACGCGGTGGAACGGGTGCTGTAAGAATAGCATGAAGCCTCAAATAGAGACATAGTCTTGTAAATGAGGCAAACCGTTTCCAAAATGAACAAAGCAATCACTGTTAAAATGTTTTACTCAGCGAATTTGTGTCTGCACGAATCACGAGGTTTAATCTTAGACATATACCTGATAGCCCGTTTCTGCAGTACTAATACAGACAGAACTGCTGATGAATTGCATACTCCCCAAAACGGGGAGTATGCAAAACCAAAACATGTCACAAAACCATTCCATTATATTTGGAAATATCACTGACTGTAATGAATGAAAATGTAATGTAACAAAATAATATTTCCCTTATTTTAATGGTTTTTTAGGAAATAGTTCTATTGAAGAGCAGATTCATTTAGATCCCACAATTTCCAATTTGGCTAATGCCTTCAAGTCATATAGCTGGTCAGATTTTATGAAGTGGATTGAAAATTATTTGGAGAGTTTCAAGGGAGATATAGACGAAACAATGAAGAAATTACTCCTTTACGTCACCAAATCACAAAAAACTGGAATTTCTATGATACAATCTGGTGAGTATCAATCTAATAAGAGCACTTTTCTCGCGTATACAATTCCATCAGTGTATATTTTTGAGAAGACTGCAACCTGAGAAAGAAAATTGTAGGTTTAGCGACTTATAAAGTGATATTCGATAGGCTCACTTTAATCGTTTCAGAAATGTAATGGACACCTACTTTGAAGAATATTGACGAAGAAAAAAGTCTCCGAGTATATCTGTTGTTTCAGAACAGTCTCAAAGGAACGGTTCAGAAAATATTTTAAAGATTCAGACAATTCTACGTAGATGGTGTGGAAGTTTAATTTTCTGTCGATGTATTGTATTATACACCGTGACTCACGGTCGATGGTAGGTTAGACGTTTCTGGAAAACGCAAAGCATGATTTTTCGGAAAATTCCACCTCTCACATTTCATTACCTGTTCTATCGATCCAAAATATTTTCAGCATGGCGGCGTTGCCACTTCCATCAAAAAGTCCTAGCAACTTTATTTTTAAATAGAACACCCCGTATATCAATACATTTTTGGAATTGCTCTGGTATTTTAATACATTTTTGTTGATAATGTCCCTATACCTATCTCTATCTATTTTCGAGATAAAAAATAAATTGTGCTAAATATGGTCCAAAACATAGCCTTAATTGAAATTAAGTACATCAGTACTCTCAATTCATGAGAAGTTGATATTTTGATGATCATTTGGACAAACTCGAAATATTCAGATAACACCAAGAAATCGACTCCATATCATATAGGGCGTGCTAAAATTACTATTATTTCCATTGTGCATAAAAGTAGCCAAAAGTTAATGTTTTCAAATAAAACCCCCTGTATATTACTCAGTAAATTGAAAGATGATGAAAAATGCTTCAAGATGATATATCATGACCCTATACCTAAATCGTCAAGTTTTCTCAATAAAGTCGCTTCTTCTAGAAACATAATTTTTTTTTACAATTTGGATTAAGGTAGCAGTGGAATTATCAATATTATAGCAGTTCGGTTACTTTTATAAGTAATTTACAGAGAGTTATCGACGGTGTTTCGAATCATCTTC